GGACGCGGGCTTGCTGGGGAGACCCCTGTCCTGGGCTTGGGGGGGCTGCAGCGCTTGCCCCTCTGGCTTGGGTAGAGCTCGGTCCTGCTGCGGCCGGCCTCCCGCGGGGCACTCCACCTCTCTCAGAAATAGGTGCTCGATGATCTGAGCCTTCATTTCGCTCAGATTATCTGAAAAAATAATAATAAGCAAAAATGCCTTCTGCAGCCTCTCCCTAATGTCTTCGGGGCCACTAACACACCTCCACTGGCAAACTGTATGGTTAAGAAGCCCCATCCTTAAAGTAAAGGTGAAACGTGGAGTGGTTGCCCCACAAGAAAGAAGCCAACCAGCAAAGCTGTGGTCCTCAGAACTTCTCTCGCTGCTGTTCACAGGCTGTGGACACCAGCACCTCGGTGAACAATAAGACAACCCTGGGAGAGGGTCTGGGCTGCCACATCTTCAGAAGGAACAGCTGCCCATTCTCCTCCTCACCTTGCATGGCCTTTCTGCTGCTTGACAAGATCATATCTGTCACCTTCAAAGGTCCTAGCAATCCTTAATTATATCACAAGTTCATGTCATCCAGCTCTTTTCTACCCCTGCACCCCATGAGGTTTGCTGTTTTCCACCAAGAAGGAAGAAGAACTACGTCCTACAGGCACTTAGTGGATGTTTCCACATTTCTTCTCATCTCACTAAACAAAGCACAACCCATAACTGCTCTCACCTTCTGCACACCCCACGCCTCTGGCCCTCTGCAGTTCCTGACAGTCCCATCAGCACTACGCACCCTGCAGGCCCCAAGACCTTGGGAGAGCCCAAGAGCCAGCAGCCCCATCAAAGCCCAGCTCTCTGCTGTCTTTGTGGACCCCTGCTTGCTCCATCCTTGGCAAGTCGGGACAACATAACATGACTGAGCAATAAAATGGGGGCCTACCACCCTGCCCACAGGAGCCGCCTTCCTCCTGCCTCTTTCCTGCTCTCCTGTTGGCCAGGAGCATGTTCCTTTCCCCTGCTGCCTCCTCTTGTCTCCATCACCCCACCTAACTGTTCCCTGAGGGACAGAGAGGTCCAAACCTCCTGCTGCTCAGGCTGCTCCATCAGCTATTCAGGTATTTATGAGCTAGGTGTGCACCAGCTCTGTTCTAAGATGCTTTCTGTGGTTCTCCATCCGTTCTCAGCCCCAGATCCTTCACAGCCAGCTCAGCCTGCTTTGGAGCCCTGATTTCTACCATACAGCAAAAAGGGGAGGGTGAGGCTGAGGGTGAAGCACAGCTCCTGGTACTAGGTTTAAAACCAGGCAGCCTCTGCTTCAGTCACTGCAGTTCTAGGACCTGGGAGAATCCACCTTTATCCTCTGACCCCCACAGCACCCTACCTTGCACTCTTTGCCAGTCATGGTTAGAGGCCAAGGTTTTACTGGTGACACCTCCAGTGCTGAGTGTAGGATGTTCAGCCTCATCCTCATCTCCTCGAAATTCTACTGCCTACACTGACTGCCTCAGATATGACACCACCTCCTGCAACATCCCCACCTGCTAGTGCACTCCTCTGCTGGAATCTGCTCTGGTCCTGACCAAGCTGCACGGCAGTGTCATTGCGCAGCCATGCCTGGGTGCTCTTAAACCTCACTTGGTTAAATGTGCCTAAAAAAGCCCTCTGGACTCTGCGCGTGCATTTGAATGGGCAGATAGGAGGGCACTTGCAGAGGAGTCCCTGCACATTTTGATATCCATAAGTATCTGTGTCCACAGCATGAATGCTGCAGCAGAGGGACACGGGGTTAAGGTTACAGTCAGTGGAATGGGACATGTGGCTCTTCCTGTGCTGCTCCTCTTGGAGGTGAGAGCCATGGCATGGAGCGAGGGCCGGCCAGGCTGAGGAGTTAAAGCTGGTTGCTGAAGATCTGAACGCCGAGGAAGGGGAACGAAGAACAGAAACCAGGGTGGGATTTCAGAAGAGGGGATATGGGCATGTCTGAAGACAGGGGGTTTGGGGTTTGTGTGTGAGTATCACAGAAAGAACCAAGCAGGGATGGAGGGGAGTAAAAGAAGTGAGTACAGAGAAGGGAGAAGGGACCAAAAAGAAACCCCAAGAAATGTGGAACTTAGGTGCACTCCTTCCTCCACACTGAAGGGCTCCTGTCCCATTCCCAGGCACAATCCTGAGTCTCAGACTTGCTCTGTCAGTCCCTGGATGCCCAATATGATTCAAGCAGAGCAGCTCTATTTGCAGAGCCAAGAAATGGGTGTTGAGGAGGGCTTGGCTCTGTGCTTGGCTTAGACCCTGCTCTACTGGGCTCTGATCCCTGCCATGCCATCCCTAGAGGCGTCTCAGATGGAACAGCTGCTGGGTCAGAATTAGGAAGGATTTTTCCTAGCCATAAGAGTCCCTCTACGGCTTTTCCCTCTGGTGAAGGAAATCCCACAAAGCAGGGACCTGGAGTGGGAACTGGAGTGACCCCTGTATTGGTCTCCCCCTCCAATGCATGCCAGACACAGACTCCATCCCCTGCCATCCTTCCAACACACCATCACCACCCACAGACAGAGGGAGAAATTACCTGTCAAAACCAGCTGGAGCTGCTTCTCTTTCTTCCGGCGTCTGGAACTTGCACCTTGGAGGCAGCCAGACATCAGGAGCAAGAAGCTGATGCTGGGCTGAGGGAACAGGTGATGTTGCCTCTTCTCCTCCACCGAGGAGCCTTCCCCGGAGCAAGGAGATAAAGAACCTCTTCCCTGTGCAGAATCTCAGAGAAATTCACCCCTTCCTGCCCCCTCTAATCTCTCAAGGGAGGCAGAAAAGCAGCACAAATCAAATGGAGAAAGACTGCAAACACCTCTGAGCTGCCAACTCAAATGATCATCCTCTTCAGCTCTTGTTCCAGATCACCCTCTCCGCCCTATGCACGGCACCAGCCCAGGGTCTCTAGGTTAAAACAAATGTTCTCCCCCATCCCACCCCCCTTGCTTTTCCCATTCCACCCCAGCCCACAACAAACAGCAGCTCGCTGGCCCTACAGCCTTGTAACCCAACCCCAGCCATTGTTCCCCTTCCACAAGGTCTATATTTGACTTTGCAGCAGCACTGTGGCTGTGCGTGTGTGTGTGTGCATGTGTGTGCACTCTCTGCACACGCACACTCCAATATTTGTTCAGAGCCTCATTCCCCAGATGCCCGGGATTGCTTAGAAATAGCTTCCATGGGCAGTAGGTGTTTGTGCCTTCAGTGGGGAAGTGGAGGGGGCGAGCAAAAGAGAAGCAGGGAGAGGGTGAAGGTCGAAGGTAGCTCTTCTCTCCTAATCTGCACCAGCTCAATGATCTGCCACTCTGTGGAGCTGGCAGACAGCAATACGTGCACTCAACAGTGGAACTGTTGTGGCAGATCTGGGGAACGATGGAGAAAAGGACAAGCTGTGGTCTTGGTGAATCTATTCCTGTGTCATCCTGCCCTAAGTTTTGCTGTCTAGTGTCAAAAGTGCCACTCAGCCTCCAAAAGCCCTTCAAACCTTCCTCGGTCTGGTGACTGAAGCCACTGGAAATGCCACTGGAAGGGAAGTACCCAATTCCCTTAGCCTGGTGGCTCTGCAAGGGGTGTCTCAGTGAATGGGAGTTGCCCTTGGATTCACCTTCCTACGTTTCAGAACTGCATTAAGGGTAGCCACCGTGGGCTACCCCAGGATGTATTCTATGTGTTCCCAAAGTCTCAAGGAATGCCACCCAAGCCCAATGTCACATTCCCTGTGACCCCAGAGTCCTTGAGAACACTGCCTAGGCTTGGCATGAGCCTCCTTTATTTGCTTCTTTTGCAGCCTGCCAGAACATAAGGCAAAATGAGAAATAACTGCAATCAAAATGAATGACAGGGAGGATCGCTTTTATCCTAAACACTGATGATCCAGGTAACTCATTGCCACTGGGTAACAAGAAAAGGCATTCATTAAAAAAGCCTGACTAGACATTTATATAGACAATGAGAATAAATAGAAATGAACTCCAAAGAGCTATAAACCCTCTTGCTCCAGGGCATTGAATACGAGTTCTAGGCCATGGAATAGGTAGAAGCTTATGGGCAGGTTCTTCAGTAATTTTGTGCAGGGCAATGCTTGTACCTTCCCCTGAGCTGTGCGACCCAGTCCCAGGAAAAGAAGGATGCTGGCAAGAGGAGGCACCATCCATACATATCCACTGGACAGAGGGGTGGCCCAGTATACATTTTCCATCACCAAGGCCAAGGCGGGATGGACTGTATGGATGCTCTGGTAGTGCCTGAAATGTCTGGGAGAGGTGATACCCAGATGTTCAGAGCCAAGCCTCTGATCACCAGCTTGCCTCTCCTCCTCTCTGAGCCAGCTGCAGGGAGTCCCTTATCATCATGTCTTCTGCTTCCTGAGGGGTGGTCTGCACCCTGCACTGGCCTCCAGGCATCTGCTTTGTTGGGACTAGGTAAAATCAGACTGCCTGATGGGCTGCTCCATTAAAACAGATCCTGTGAGTGTGGGAGAATGCATGTGTCATTGTAACGGGCTTGAGCTGAGTACCTGACAGCCTCCAAACCTGCTGTGAGTAGCTGGAAAAGTAAACTTAAGTCACACGTTATTTTGAGATACAGATTCCCTGAGTCCAAGTAGTTCAATCCAAGACAAGACAAAGCCACCCTGGGAGGAGGGCGGGGGGGGGAAAGAAAGATTAAATACTGGAGGCAAAACGACTTAGACTTGAAGAAGGAGGGAAAAAGATGGAGGTATATATGGAGGGCAGTTAGAGAAAAGATCGTTTACCTGCGCCCGCACAGCTCAACAGGGTGAGTCAACCCCCCTTCAAAGAACCCCCATGAGTTCACTGAGAAGGTGTAGGATCTTGTTTTGCCCTGTGATTTCTGGCTTCCCTCCGAGAGCATGTATGACAGCTAATGTCAGGGCTCTCCCAAGGGCATCGACTTCAGGGGGTGTACCCATTCCCCCCATCTGCCTCCTGCTGCTGAGAGGAGGTCTGGAAGCACTGGAATGGGAAGGAGATGTCTGCCAGGCATTCCTTTGCTGGCACACACCTGCGGGTGCCTTGAAGCCCATCTTCAGCTATACTGTCTCCCTTTGCCTTTCCAGCTGGCAGGTCTAGCAATGAAACCTCCTAATCTCACTGGGAGGATGCAAGCATTTAATGGGAGACTCTTGAAGCAAATCTTTTGAGCTTCCTTGGTGCTTGCCTCTGAGCTTGCTCCTGGGCATTTACAGAGGTTGGCATATCTTGGTGTTTGCAGTGAAACCTGGCAGGCAAGCCTGTTGTAGAGAATTTCAAGGTCATTTTGCGAAACTATGGCCTATGCTTAGAAAGAGTTGAACCCTGGCTACAGAAGAGTCCGTAATTAGCAGCCCCAGGGGATGTGGACGAGTGTTGGGGGGGGAGGCTAATTGCAGACTGACTGTCTCCTTGGCCTTCAGCAGCTCCCATGAAGCAGAGAAGCAGTGTGCTCAGCCAAGCACCAAGCGTGTCCTAGAGAAAGGTAATTCCTTCCTGGCCTGCCTGGACCCGTCCCTATAAACAACGAGAGCTGCTCTGGGAGAGCAGTGCTGCAGATTTCACAAAAAAAATATGTCTGTGTGAGTTGGAGGTGTATGCTGGGCATGCAGAAGGGCTCCTCGAGAGACAACACACAGCTATGTGCCTCTACCTGAAAGAGTCTGCGAGTCCCTGCTCTGCCCTCAGAGGGCTTGGGGGGGTCATCTACCTCCCTCCCCATTTGTGTACTGTAGTGAAGTGCCAACCCCAACACCCCAGTGTGTTATGTCCTCCCCTTGCACACGGGTGAACGCTCTGCTCAAACCCGGATGAAGCCCCATCTGCCTGCACATGCAGAGGAAAGCCAGTGTCACACCTAACCCCTCCGCCACCTCCCCATGTGCTCCAGTCAAACATCCTCCCCTTGTCCACATACTTTGAACTTAGTTTATTTCAAACACTGTATTAGCATGACGAGCTAAACAAGTTTTGACGAAGGGGAAGGGAGGCAGAGTCCCTTAAGTCTTGGTCTGAGGCTGACACGGTGACTCCAGCCTTTGCTTCCTATGGGGTTTTGCTTGCATTAGAGCAGCCATCCTGCCTGTCGGGCGTATTCTCTACACGCCTTCACGGGGGTAAGTCACTGTCATGAGAGGGCCCTTCAGTTTCTGTTTCACGGCAGCATTCATATTGGATTTAGCACCCATTGGGGCGAAGGCTTTACAGTGAGTGTTGGTGGGGCTCAGGCAAGGCTGTTGAGAGGAGAAACTGTGCAGTGCTGGGGCAGCTCCTTCTGCAGGGAGCTCACCTGAAGGAGCAGTGGTATCTGTGATGTAGGTTCCAGTTGAGAACTGAATTTTTCTAGAAGAATACAGTGTGTAAGGTCACAGAGCCATGCAGAGTGAAAGCTGGAGGCACCTGTGCAGGGCTCAATGTGCAAGAGCTGGGATTGTGGCGTGGAGCTGGTGGTGAGCAGAGAAATGAGTGGGATGCCACAACCAAATACTTGAGGTCAGAAAATCCCAATTTCAACTGCCTGCTCCCAAGAGTGATGCAGCTGGCACAAAGTGAGTGGCAAATCCACCACTGCCAGGCCCTCTGCTCCCTGCCCCACATGGAAATACTGTACCAGGGAAAGAGGCAAGAGCTCATTGTTTGCTGCACCGTTTTGTGGCTAGTTAGAAATGGCCAGTAGGGGTCACTGATATATATTTATTTTATTCTATTTTTGTACATATTCATTTATAAATACACAAAACATGCAGAGGCAGCAATTGTAGTGGGCAAGTGTTGATGTGCAGTGTGTTCTTCAAGTATGCAGGTTGGGGGAAAGTGCCCCTACGTATGTCAGAAATACTGGTGTGAGCTGTGCATCGTGCCCTGCTCAAACCCTGTGATGGCATGAAAACACCCAGCCATGCCAAGTGCCAGGGTACTGCAATGGTAGGTTTCTGTTGTTGTTCTCCAGTTCTGCCTTCGTCTTCCATTCTGTATTGCCAGAGAGGCTTTGAGAGAGATTCAAGAGGTTCACAGATTCAAGCCTCGGGGGCAGGATATTGTGTCTGCTTGTTTTTCTGTGCAGTGCCCAGCACAATTACATCCCAACCATGATGGGTGCCTTTAGGCAGTCCCATAAGACAAACAGCACTTTGGGTTGGGATGGGTCAGCACAGTTCTGTTCTTCAGCCACTGATGCTGGGGATCCTGACAGCAAAGAGTTTGCTTGTGAAAAGACTCCAGGATTTTTTTGAGTATGGTATCTCAATTCAGCTTAAAATTAAGCCCCAACCCTCACTCTTATGTAGTGGTATGGACTGAATTATACACGTGTGTATGTTGTTAGCAACTGTTTTATTGGTGGGGTGTATTTTTCTGGTAGATGTATGCTCCAGGCATACTGGCAGGATGTATTTGGCTCTCCAATTCGGCATCCACAGACTTGTTTGACTGTCCCAGGCTGGCTGTGTTTCACTGATCTTATTGTTCCTGAAATGCTGTTAGTTTTGGGTGCTGAGTTCCTCTTGTGCTGGCATATCCCAGAGTGAAAATTCTGCTCAAAATAAGTCTCAAGTTTTTTGGTTTTGGTGGGCTCAGCCTCTGAGGGTTTCCCAGCTGAGATCTACGGGGGAATCCTCTGT